CAGCAGATGTTGAAAATGCTGTACTCGTAACTGAATGCATTCAGTGTACCCTTGGGATATATTGATGTTGACTCTTTTGAGTTCTTCCCTGGTAATTGCTGGAATTTCTCAGTGGATTTTGTTTCATAGTTCATCCAGGTTGTGGGGATTTATTTTTGTACACTTTATCTGTAAAACTGCCCAATGAGTAAAAGTCATACAATGTTAAATCAGGGGAATCTGTGGAGGTCGCAGACTCCGACTAACTACACAGTCACTGAAAGCCTCCTGGAGATCACAGAGACTTACACGTACCATGTGAGCTGTTGCAGAATCGTGCTAGAAAGCTTTGTGAAGTCTCTTTTCTTCTGTTGGCTTGGCAAAGAATGGGCTTTTGATGTTCATGTACCTGGCAGCATAAACTGTGATGTCATAAAAGATTGATCAATTTATCTTCTGTGCATTTATCACACACAAAACACCAACTTTTGTTTTGTCATGAAGAGGAAGTTTGTGAATAAGTGTAGGATTTTCTGTACTCAGATGCATGTAAGGAAAACTAGATGTCATCAGAAAAGAAAAACATGAAGTATGGATCAACTTCTTTATCTTGTGCAGATTGAAGATACAGTTTACAGAAGAATCACGCTCCTTTAAAAACATGAACTGCCATTGTTTTGTGTGATCACAGTTTTAACAGTTTTGGCTCTTTGTGAAGATGTAAAACACCTGTCTCCTGCACTAGTCGATAAAGAGATTTTCTTGGTGAAATTTCAAGTCTGGCACCGATGCTGTCAGTTTTCTCTCCTGTCAGGCTTCTTGTTGCAGTGGTGTTGTTTCAAGCTTGTCTGCTTGGAAACCGGTTCTCCTGGAAAATTGTGCCGAAATTTTCTGCGACGTTTTCCGGCACTCATATTTGCTGTAGCGTACTTCAGCCATTTTGTCCAGCACTGAATTGTGTATTGAGAAATACGCTAACAGTTGCAAACTCGATGGTTTGTGGGGGAAGTATGATATCACCTGCTGCGTAGATGCACGCGTACTGCACAACTACCACTTCTTGGCAAACAGGAAGTGGTCCACCCTGTATGATAAAATCAAAGGGAGACATATTTAGGCAACACGTGATTTCAGATACAAATAAATTTGTAGGAGTATTACAGTTCTAAATGAACATTCGTCAATCTTTGTGACATATCACATTCGGGGTCAGCTAACATCATTGGAGTGATCATTGCTTGCTATTTTGGTAGAGAATTAATTTTATTTTTGGAGCAGTTAATATTTATTAAAGAACTGCTTCAGGATTATTTTGTTTTGATTTCTGTAGTGTAACTTCACTCTTCCTGGAGTTGTTTAGTCCTGTTGAACCATTATGAAAATGTGTTCACCACTGCCAGATTGGAGGCCGCCCCCCACCCAAGCTGTATATGGCGACTCTTCAGTTCAGCAAGCCTGCAGTCTTATTCATAGCATGTTACAAATTGGTATTTGTTATAGTAGTGTATGAAGTGTGTTTATCATAGACATGGGAGGGGGAATTTGTATTTGGAAACTTCTTTTCTTTAGAGACATTGTGTCATTACTAAAGTTGCATGTTTGGTACTATGGAAAATGAGAAAGTGGAAAACATGCTTATTGCTTTCAAAACTGCTTCTCTGTCAGATTATGTGTTAGTAATGTGTAGTTTATTTTCACATGTCACGAGTACTATCTCATCGGGTTACTGTCAATATTGGAATATTTGGTGTACTGTATAACACTCACAACCTTTGCGTAGATAAGTTGGAAAGCACTGGGAAGTTAAAGTTTGTTAGTAATTACAAGGAATGCTACCCTGATGCAGTTTACGGTGATATCTCTTTTAGTGAGTGAGCCCATAGCCTCTCAGCATTGTGTATTATTGTATAATTGTTATGATCATCACTTGAAAGCAAAATATGTAGAAACAAGTAGGATTTGAGGTTTTCATGGTGGTGAATCTGAAGATGGCTGTCTTTTCAGTCGTAGAAGTGGTAAACTTCTACCAGACTATATGGCGCTACAACCAAGAAGACAGCCATCTTCATGTAGAAACAACTGAAGTGTCTGGAAAGTTATTCTGCTTCGAGCCTTAGTAATAAATTTACGAGGCTGATGCAAGAAAGCTGTTGCAGAACGTGAAAGAAATTCTTCAGTATGGTACTTTTAATGACCTCGATGGAGGACATCTTATTTTGTTATGTGATGTGATTTCATTTTGGTATAGTTTTGAGTTGATATTGGATAATACCTACCTTTGTTCCATGTGTTTGAAATTGAAATTCAGTACTTTGTAATAATTTAATATATTGACCAGTTTTCCAGCACCACAGTGATTATTTATTGGGAGAATTAAAACGACTTTTGAGCTTTGCTTGAAGGATGGAAGTACGAGATTGCGTTAAAATAGCCTTTAATTTTGGTGACTTCCTTGATCACTGTTCTTACTTTGACCCACCTTTCAATACCCCTTTTCTGATCTCTGACCTCCATTGCTTCTTTTCTTGTAATGTTATAAGTCGTCCCTTTATGAAGTAAGTAATTCTTTGCACATTAGAACTTCAAGAATTAAATCACATTTCTGGGCATAATATTTTCCTGTTATTATGATTGTCAGGTTTAGTTGTGGCTGTAATGTTTATCTTTGCTGAAAAGAAATAATTTGATCAAATATATTTGCCATTGCATTGAAACATGTAATTATTTCCTGAGATTCTATACTTGAAATATATAATGTATTCCTTAATGCAGAGTTTGTGATTTCCAAAAATAAGTTTGGATCCTTGAATAATTGTGTTGACTTGATGGTCTGGTGACATGAATGTTTTGAAATTGGAAGCATAGTATATGGCAGATATCTACAACTGAACTTCCTTCACCAGATCTGCAGATGTGAGCAAGGAGGGCAGTTACTTATATGTGAAGGAGGAATATTAGTATTCTCAGTATATTCTGCGACTGAAGCTACTTATACGGCAGTTCACTAATTTAGCAAACTTCTGATGCACAAGCATTTCCAGCATTTTCTCAGAGAAGAATTAGATGCTGTGTTCACAGTGTGATACATAACCAATTTTGAATTTGATAGGTCTGTTTCATGCTTAGGCGTGAATTCTTCCTTACATCCTTGAGGCAATAAAATGTCACTTCAGTAGCTTTCACTCTTTGATTTTATGTAGAATTGTATAGCTTTTATGTAACTCGAAATGCCTGAAGAGACATTTCGTATTAAAATTCAGGCTCAGATCTGTTTGTGTATAATGTGGTTTCGCCATTTAGTAGTGATAAAGTTTGACATGCAACTGAATTTTGCTAATCAAAATTAGTTTGTAGAGTTGTTATAAAATAAAATTTCAGAAATTCACTTAGTAGCTTTGCCGTCTCCTTCTTTTCATCTGTCCAGATGTAACGACTCGACCACTGAACAGATCTTAAAGACGTTTAATATTGTGATGTATTCCAAGTTAGGTCGAAATTGGACATTAGTGATGAACACTGAAAACTCTAGCACCAACGATACCATTCACAAAGTCCGACTGTCATATTTTGGAAAATCCACCAGAATTGTTACGCTATGCAGACATTTCTTAATTTGTTTGTTTGTGAATTGGATTTAATGGCAGTCGCGGTTAGTCAACCTCTGTCAATTGCTAGCGTTGAACAGTCAAGCTTAGTTATGTCATGTCTTCTGTTGTTAGGTGCCTTAACAGTTGAGTGTACTTAAATGTTTGTCACTGTCATGAGTGGTATTTAATTACATTGAAGTTCTGATGTGCACTGTGACTGCCGGATAAAGAGTGAAGTGAGCTGTTTCTTGTTTTTGTTTAGCCTGTGATGAGGCATTTGAGTCATTCATTTACATTCTGTTCACAACCACAGATTTAAGCTTGATGTTTAAGCTCTGTTTTTATGTTTTAAGCAATAAAAACGTTTTACCATCAAATATTGCTACAGTTTTTCAATGTGTTTCTGTAGAATCTCAGTCTCATAATTATGGCTCTCATAAGAGAGAAATATTTAGCTTAATACACACAAATGCATTGGTCTCATGCCTCTGCAGAAGTAAGTCATTGCCCACATAAGCAAGGGATAAGAGTATGTTGTAGGTACCTTTCCCATACTTTAAGATAGTAACTAGCAAGGAACTAGCTTATTCACCACAGTTCTGACTTTTGATGACACGTCACAAGCGGAAGATGAGGAGAGCTCTCTGCCACACTTGGATGGGTTCCAGAGCAAGCTTCCGCCCGGCATTCTGCCCCACGGTCTGCCCCAGGTGAAGGAGGTGCAGCCAGCTCTCACATCTCTGGAAAGTGCACCCCAGAAACAGGAGCCTGCCAAGCAAGGTTAGTCTGCGCTGTAGATTGGATTAAAAGCAATGATTTATTTACACACTGTGTAACAAAATAAGTGTGGTTAATGTGTACGTTCCTGAGTTCCCCTTGCATTGCGTTTCAACCTCCTTGATCAAAGGCTGTATGTTTGAAGGCATTTGTTAGGTGGTTTTCTATTGTTTACGTTTTTTGTATTTCGTTCTGGCTTTTGCATTCACTTTTAATTGCGCCTTCTATAACAGATATGATTTTTGTATTACATTTACAGATTGTGCTAGTTCAGTATGCTATGTAGGTCGTGAAGCTGGTATTTAACAGTTCTAAAAAGTCATGAGGCGAGAGAAGAGTACAGAAAGCATAATTGTACCAATTTTTATAAATTTTAAGTTGAGATTGAATTCCGTTGTTTTCTTGTTTCATTTTTTTGTCAGTGCGTGAGTTGTCTGAGGAGGAGAAGCAGATGATTATCCTAACAGAGGATTTCCAGAGGTTTCTAGACCGAGCCGGACGTGTGATGGAGCGAGCTTTATCTGAAAGCGTTGATATCTATACTGACTACACTGGGGTAGGAGATGGGGATGAAGCAGCGTGAGTATTGCAACACAATTATGAGCTAGAAACAGAGAACATGGAATGTTTGCTCAGAGAATTCTGGTATTGAGAGGAGCGATCACCAGAGATTGTCATTGCTATAAAAAGCATCCACACCTAAGCCACATTCCACAATTGAAGTTTCTCCAATAGAAATGTGGCAAACAACTGGAAATGTTTGAAAGTGACTGCCTTCTGAGATATATTGACCAACATTTCAGATGAACCTACTGCTAACATATTCAGGGTGCTATCTGGTAGACTGCATGTTGTAGCATCCCAGAAGACAGCCATCGTTGTACTTGGTCACCATGAGAACCTCAGATCTCAAAATATTTATCTGCTGTTGATTTATCTGTCATGCATTTTATCATCAACTTCTTATTTTACTAAAACTGTGTTTTATGCAGTTTAAAATATTTTAATCTTGTTACAAGAATTTAAAGGTTTTATATTAAAACATGAGTAGTAAAAGGTGTGTTATGAGATTTTATACGTTGAAACAGTAAGTCTGCCTTTTATTGGCAGAAGGTCAAAGTTTATTTTATAATTTTGAACAGAGAATCAATAACTAATGTAAGACAAGACTATTTTAGATGGTATGAGAATCTCATGGCATGATTAACATCACTGCTTTCCTGGATTGCTGTTACATAAGCTTAATGTTTCAGGGATGAGAAGTCTGGTCTTCGACTGTCACTGAACCGGTGCTTCTATGACGATCGATGGTCTCGTAATCGCTGCGTGACATCTCTGGATTGGTCACCACAATATCCAGAACTTCTAGTAGCTAGCTACCATAATAATGAAGACTCGCCCAATGATCCGGATGGCGTGTGCTTAATTTGGAATACAAAGTTCAAGAAGACAACACCAGAATACATTTTCCATTGCCAATCTCCTGTTCTGGCTGCAACATTTGCTAGGTAAATTTATGCGCGTAAAGCTGCAATGCACATTTTGAAAGCTGCACCTTTAAGATGTTTTCTTGTTCAAGAAACTGCAGGAAGAATCCAAAATATTTGTTTCCTAGTGAAGATACAGTCATCGTCAATGGGTAATTCTTATGTTTGCGATATGTTTCAGATTTCATCCTAATCTGATTCTTGGTGGAACATATTCGGGACAGATCGTACTGTGGGATAACCGTGTGCAGAAGAGAACTCCAGTTCAGCGGACTCCTCTGTCGACAGCGGCCCACACTGTAATTTTCTTTGTAACCTTTATATATCTAGTCTTTTGCTCCGAGGAATCAGTGTACGACTTCACTTCATTGTCAGTGTTTAGTAAATATTGTACCTTGTTCGTGTATTAAAAATTACACGTATTAAATAGTACAAGTCAGTGCAGTGTGGGATTTTAAAACTACATTCTTCAATCCAGCAGCAATAGTAATGTCCGCTGTAAGGTCTCGTAGATCCCTTTTAATACCGTCACTTAATTTGCAGTTAGCTTTAGCATATGTTGTATATTATAACATTTAAAGGATTAATATAAGTAAGTACTGTGGGAAAGGAGAAAGCGGACAAGACACATTTGTGTTACAGCATCCCGTGTATTGTCTAAGTGTGGTGGGGACCCAGAATGCTCACAACCTGATAAGCGTGTCTACAGATGGGCGACTGTGTTCATGGAGTCTGGACATGTTGTCACAGCCTCAAGAGACGTTGGAGTTGCAGCACAAGCAGGGCAAACCCATAGCAGTGACATGTCTCGCTTTCCCACACAGCGATGTCAACAACTTCATAGTGGGAAGTGAAGAGGGTTCTGTTTACACAGGTGAGTATTTAAAGATGCGCTGAGCGCCAGTAACATGCCAAGTTTAACCTTACGTGCGGTCCAGCTTTGTTTGTGTCAGGCTGTTAACCGTGCGGTTGGAGAGCGGCCGGCAGCCCCATAGTACGAGGGGTTTAAACGGCCTTTTCCCAAACAATTACGGTTAAATGTACCATGCACAGTTACCCAAATCAAATTAAGTATCTAGTCTTCAGGCATTCTTTATGAAGAAAATTCTATGGGCCTGTCTGTCACGTTTCGTACAGGTAGGAAACCTGCGTGACGATGTCACTGTTGAACGCTTCATTATGCTGGTCATCGCTAGAACACACTGCTGTATAATAGTGATATCAGATCACAGTGCAAGAATGACCCAAGGCATGACATTTGCCTTTAGTGACCCATGTATTTTGGGATGAGGGACACCTTTGGAATGTCAGTGCGCTCCAAAGAGTAGTACTGTTCCGGTTTGTTTGTTCTGGATCTCTTTTGTTGGATGGTTAAATGGGGAAATTTGTGTAAGGGGGTAATTCCATTTTCCGTCGTCAGTACGTGTTGTAAATTTTATTGACGAGTATACTTGTTTGCAGCGTGTCGTCATGGCAGCAAGGTGGGCGTAACAGAGACATATGAGGGGCATCAGGGCCCAGTGACTGGAATCTCAGCCCACTCAGTTCAAGGAGGGATTGACTTCTCTCACTTGTTCCTAACGTCATCATTTGATTGGACTGTGAAGTTATGGAGTGTGAAGGAGAATCGACCTCTGTACTCATTTGAAGATAATGGAGACTATGTGTATGATGTAGCTTGGTCACCTGTTCATCCTGCCCTGTTTGCTACTGTAGATGGCACCGGACGTCTCGATCTATGGGACTTGAATCAGGTGAATTTCTTTGCATGATGGTCATGATTACGCTCTCAATTCTTAGTTGTTTTCACAGCAAAGTTGCAAAATACTTGACCTTATCTGTACATGTGTAATACCTGTAGAATCACTGAACAGATTCTTGTGTAAGTTGTAGCGGGGATTTTTATTAACAGTTTTATCGACACATTGCAGTTTAGGTTGAAATTGGTCAACGATAATGGACGTTGTACGTTGAGGTGAAGGCGTGTTTCTGCGCACGACTTGTGCCTACCTTGCGTGGAACTGGCCAAGTGTGTATTGGATTGAAATTTGTGAACAAAAATTGCCCAGTTTTCAGATAATTTAAAATTGACTTTTTATGCTGTTATCTAAAAACTTGAGAAATGGTTTACTGATTTTGAGGTCCTTGCTTCCAACCCTACTTGTTCTATTTTTAAGAGACCTCCATAGCTGGCATTCATGAATTAGAGAAGGAAGCTAGAGGCAGTAACAGCATACATGCCAGATTTGTTATGCTGTGCACGTATCATCATGATTGCCACTAAGACGTAATGCTGTTGATAATGACTGCTAATTTCATAATGCCATGTACTGTATAGGTAGTTGGTGGGACGTGCGAGCTGTGACCTTCAGTAGTACTCACTTGAGTGAAGAAGAACTGAAGGCCATGTCTCATGTCCCGTGGAACTAGTTGAATTAATCTATGAAGATAAGTTGGCTAGCGTAGTCGAACTTGGTTTTATTTATATCTTTCTGTTCAGTGAAGTACTTGAACTAATACAAAGAATAGTCAGTTGTCTTTATGTAGTTTGCCTTATATAAATGTTAAGAATTTTTGTTTGGAAACATCTGTGACTTTCTCATTTTGTGAAACCATAAATACTGTTGGTAATTGCTATATGCCGAAAGCTGTATCGACGTCTTGAGAGACGAGAGGGTTACCTACTCAAAACATTTATGTGCATGGTCTTAGCTCTGTCGTATTTATATTGGGATTTTGCGTCAATCTGGAGGTGGGAAGAAGGAATCTGTTTTATTCCGTACTGGCCAGCGAAAATATGGACTCAAGGAGTGAAGTATGGAGCTTGGTAATAGATCTGAATGATGGAATTTGGAGCATTTTCGGCGTGTTGCAGTGTACTTTTATACCCAGGACAGAAGAGAATAGAACTGCTTAAAAGTGGCCGAGTTGTTCTAACGGCAAGGTGATTGGCATGTATTTACAGTGAAACCTCGATGCATCGTTTTCGGCGGGGGTGGGAAATAAAAACGATGAATGCGGGAAAGCATTAAAAATTTAAAAAAAAACAATGTTTCTCTTTCAAAGTTACTTCTTTTTACCAAAAAAGTCTTTAATGGACAACTGGTTTGTTGAAACTTTACGTTTTAGACCAAACAGAGCACTTTCCACGTTCAAAATGTTTTCTTCGTCACGTTCACTAATATTAAGCGCATAAAAGAACGACTTCACTTTCACCAATGCAGCGTGTACTTCGGCAAAACTCGGCAAAGCTTCGGGCGCGCATTCGTCGTCTTCCTCACCGCTCCCCCCCGCTTCGCGAACAATAACAGGAAGAATGGAAATACTATTACTGCCGAACTCAACGAAACGTAGCTGTAGAAGACCCAGAACCGCTGGAAACAAGATGAACCAGAAGAATGAAAAGTGCCGCCAGCCTTTCCTTTGTACTTGTAATAAAAGCATTTGTGAAGAAATTCACACTGCACATGCCATCTGGCATCGCTGGAACGAAATATGAGTGCACCCTAATTAAAATCGTAAAATTTCTGACAATGAGCACCGCCATTCACTCCAATATCACCCCTGCACCGCTGACCCTCATTCCAAAAGAATGTGCTGGTTGGGCGACATAACAGATTACCACTACTGTGTATTCCAAAAACATTGTGCGTCTTTCGGTATTAATTTATCTCAAAACCCAGCATTTTAAATTCTCAGAAACGATCATTGCGGGAAAATTGTGGGCCGGGACTAAGATTTTTGAACGATCGATGCGATAAAACGATAGTTCGAGGAACGATAGAAGCGGGAAAATGTAACATTATTTTATATGGGATGTATTCGGGACCGAACAAAACGGACGATGCATCCGGGAAAACGATAGTTCCGGGAACGATGGATAGAGGTTTCACTGTAATATGTGGTCACATAAATCTTTGTGTAATTGTCGTTGTGTTTCCTTGACGTTGAGGTGATATGGAGTGAAGTGCTTCAAGAACTGGCGTTAAGTTTTGCTTTTTTCCAGTTTTTTTTGCTAATGGTGTATTCTTTCCAATAGGATACAGAGGTGCCAACAGCTACTGCTTTGGTGGAGGGCTCTCCAGCTCTCAATAGAGTGTCGTGGACGCCATCAGGACTCCACGTTACAGTTGGTGATGACATGGGAAAGATCTGGGTGTACGATGTAGGAGAGGTAAATGATTTTAGTTACTTTAAAAGTCATACATCAGGGATCAGCAGCACAGAGGTGGCGAAGGGGGTGACGGTCCAGCGCGTTGCACATGTAGCAGCCTCTTATGCCTTTTATCCTTATATTGTTGTTGTACTTTGCCTCGTGCACGTGTCTGTCTGAGACTGACAACAGTGAGGAAGAAATTGAGGAATTTTTTTTATAAAAGCCTGTGGAGAGAAAACAACAATTTTTAAATGCCTTCCATAAAATTGTGTTGTTGACTGCAGATTGATTGTGTACTGTTTGGTAACATTGTTTCTGAATTAATGGCTGTTGTTGACAGCTGTTAGTCTTCATCACCAACGGTGCACTTAACCATTGATGATGTTATTTGGTTCGTATGTTTATGTTATGCATATTAGACTTATTTTTCTCCAGATGATTGGTGTTTTTAATTATGATGTTAACGATTTAAAAACTACCTCTCTAGAACTGACTCAATCAAATCGTACTAGTCTTCCTTTTATCAGCTGTAAATCCTGATGACAGTAATTATTGCATTAAGAGTAAATTTAAATAGACATTGTACGCTCAGGCCAGGAAGTTAGGTTAGACCATAATCATAATTAAAGAAAAATTGTTTATGCTTTTTAGTAACGTAAACAACACTTTTCTTGGAGGCTGTATACCAATAAGCACTGAACGTAATACATCTGCAGTTTGGCCGCTATAAGAAGTAGAAGATGGCTGTTTTCTGGGTTGCTGCAAAATCCCAGAAGACAGCCGTCCTCAGACTCACGTACTTTGCCTCGTGCACGTGTCTGTCTGAGACTGACAACAGTGAGGAAGAAATTGAGGAATTTTTTTTATAAAAGCCTGTGGAGAGAAAACAACAATTTTTAAATGCCTTCCATAAAATTGTGTTGTTGACTGCAGATTGATTGTGTACTGTTTGGTAACATTGTTTCTGAATTAATGGCTGTTGTTGACAGCTGTTAGTCTTCATCACCAACGGTGCACTTAACCATTGATGATGTTATTTGGTTCGTATGTTTATGTTATGCATATTAGACTTATTTTTCTCCAGATGATTGGTGTTTTTAATTATGATGTTAACGATTTAAAAACTACCTCTCTAGAACTGACTCAATCAAATCGTACTAGTCTTCCTTTTATCAGCTGTAAATCCTGATGACAGTAATTATTGCATTAAGAGTAAATTTAAATAGACATTGTACGCTCAGGCCAGGAAGTTAGGTTAGACCATAATCATAATTAAAGAAAAATTGTTTATGCTTTTTAGTAACGTAAACAACACTTTTCTTGGAGGCTGTATACCAATAAGCACTGAACGTAATACATCTGCAGTTTGGCCGCTATAAGAAGTAGAAGATGGCTGTTTTCTGGGTTGCTGCAAAATCCCAGAAGCCAGCCCTCAGACTCACCGCCACGAAAACCTAAAATCCTACCTACTAAGAAGTAATAAATCAAATTTTCATGTTTTATGTACAAGAAAGCATAAACTAGAGACAAATGAAATCTGACTTTGAGGATTAAATGGGATATAATGATGGTGGAAACAGAGTGTGCGAAACGTGCAGTTGATGTGAATTGTTATTTGATTTGTTTCAGCAACTGTCACAGCCGCGGCTTGATGATTGGAGCAAGTTTGTATACACACTGCAGGAGCTGAAGAACAATAAAGCAGATGAAGAGATTGATAAGCTGAACCTGAGCTCCTCAGGTCCATCTAATCTTGGAAACTTGGCTTCTCTCTCTCCCAATCCACTGCGTTAATTCACATTGGCACTGATGCGTAATGTTAATATTATTCTCTGGCATTACTGCTAAACAGCTTGATACGTTCTTCAGGTACATGCGTAAGGTTCTTATTGCAGCTGTAGAGATTGAAGATTTTCTCCGAAAGCCGGTCGCTCGTTTCCTCCACGTGACTGATTTTTCGTGCCACGTTTGTGGTTTCACGTTGGTGTCTTCTGTCTCTGTATTGACGGTGACTGCTGTTTTACTTCGTATGTTCACCGCAGCTTCTTGATACCATAACTGTGTTGGAGAGCAAGTTGACTAACCTGTAGAAAGTATTGCCACCATTTGGCTATCTTGTTATTTGTGTCATTAATTATGCCAGTGAATTTTAAAAGGGCCATAAACTTTGTGTATTGTGATTTAATTTTCACATATATAAAGTACATACCTTCCTAAACTTTTGGTGGACCCCCATGTGATTTTTGTAAATAATTGTACTCTCAGCATAAAATAATTTATTGCAAGAACTGATTTATGTTACAGTGTATTTATTATTATGTTACAACTTCGCAAGTCGGTAAATTTTACGGTGGAGGAGGAATGAAATAGTGCCATAAGCCATAAATATTAACCAGATTGAGAATGGGAGGACTTGATGAAAAGTGTCCTTCTAAACTAGTGTAATGAGTCAAAGTTCAAGTTCCACTGAAGTTTCTTAACGTACGGTATATGAAAATCCGAGGGGCGTTCACTACAGTCACTTACTCGCAGGCCGACTGACGCTCTCTGTGGGCGGGAAAAAATTCACTGATGCGCATGAAGGTCCCCTACACCCCCCCACCGGAGGACACCTCCCGTGCTTCATTTGTTTCCGTGGGAAAAATTAATGTCCGATACTTTTTTAACGTTTTCCCAGACATGATGTGACGATTAGAGTTCTGCGTTTTAAGATTTATGAAAGCTTGCAGCGTATATCTGAGAAAGTTAAATTGAGAATGCGTCTCATTATACATGTCGTCCACTGTAATGGGAAAACAGCTGTGGGCTCTTACTTTTGTTAGTTTTAAACACGACTCTCCACC